CCTAATGTGAGAGGCAAAATATGGATTAGTTCTGTATTGCAAAATTGCATCAAAGCTTGAAAGCCAACAATACAAGGTATCATTTCCAGCATCTTTTAGAACTGATCCTTCTACTCTTTTAACTACATTAGCAACATAAGCACAATCTGTAATTAAATTCAAAGGTTCTGGAAAAGCTGAAAGGCCCTGACTACAGCAGCTAATTCAGTAATTTGAGAAGATCCCTTCACTGTTTGAATATGCAATTCCCATGTTTTAGTTGTTTGATTTAGCCATACTATCACTGATTTATGTGTTTTCCCTGATCCATCAGCGAAGAGAGTTACAGCACTTAAAGGTTCTTTGCTTAACGTGGGTTTTTCTCTAAAACACAATTTTGCTTGCAACCATTTATGAGTTGGGTAATAAATAGAACAAACATTCTGTTCTGAAAAATTCAACAATGCATTTTGCAAATCATCTGAATTTTGCAATGCCCAATCAAGGTAGTCTTTTTTCAGAGGTAAACAAATAATTGCAAAATCTTGGCCTGCTAAGGTGAACAACCTTGTTCTGGCTCTAGTTATAATTTGTGCTGTCATCTCCATAGTTGTAAAAATTGTCTTTGGGGACCTATAAAGAAGAAAAACCCATCCATTATTAACAAAGGATCTCTTTCAGAAGCATCCCATTGAAAAATGAGACCATAAAGTTGCAGTTTTTCTCCCAAAACTGCAAGAAAAAAGGGATTTTCTGGAGCACATCAGTGGGCTTGTCTTCTTTGGAAAGCCTCTGTGACCTTTCCAAGGGCTACTTGAGCTTCAGGTGTTAGAGCCCTAGGAGATTTGATATTACAATCTCCTCTTAATAAGTCAAAGAGTGGGGCAAGTTCATCGTTGGTAATTCCCAAAATACGTCTGACCCAATTAATTTCCCCCAGAAGCTGTTGTAAATCTTGCAAGGTGTTGACACTGGTCCAGAGTTGTATTTCCTGTAGAGGAATTGCTTGTTCAGGCATTCTCACACCCAGATATTTCCAGGGAGGAACTTCTTGAATTTTGGATGTAGAAATTTCCAGTCCGGCCTTTTGAATTTCAGTAACAACACTGTCATGAGTTTCTTCCATTTCTGCTTGTGTTGGTGCTGCAATAAGCAAATTGTCCGTGTAGTGTAGAATCATAGATTGTGGGCGCTTCTGGCGAGCTGGAGACAGAGCTTGTGCAACGAAATATTGGCATTATTGGAATTGGAATTATTCATCATTGCTTGAGGCAAAGATTTCCAGTGATATCTTTGCAATGGTTCTCCTCTAGTGATAGCTGGAACCAAAAAAGCAAACCTCAGTGCTGACGAGTTCGGCGGGAGAAAATGCAGCACTCAATATGAATGATCAGCAAATCTCATTTAGTGGTAACTCTAAAACCATTTATATAGCACCAATAATTAGGCTCATACATAGTGCAAAAGCAGGCTCATTATTGGATATTTCATTTAAGGTCAACTCCACCTTATTCTACATTCCTGTGATCGCTCATCAATGCTGAATTCACATTCTTCTGATCACAGCATCCTGTTCTCAGTTAACAGTTATCACCAAGGCCTTCCTGACTTTTGCAACATTTCACACCAACTGTACTCCATTGTCTAACTCTTTCCCAGCTAACTGCTGCAAGGGAATATGATCTTTGCTCTCTAGCCATTCCTCTACACAGTGCGTCCTCTGGATGGAGTGGAATGTTATAAAAACAGTCCTTTAAGCTGATGATAAGAAGAGGACAGTCTCTTGGAATCATTGACAGAGAGGGGAGTCCAGAGCATGGATCATCCTTAGGTCGTGAAGCAGGCTCCAGGAATCAGAAGTCTTCTTGTGGATGACAAACACTGGTGAATTCCAGGGACTATTTGTGGGTGTAACATGATCTTTTTGCAACTGTTGTTCCTGTACTAATTTTTTAAGGATACTTATTTTTTTTCTCTGATAAAGGCCAATGATCAATCCAAACAGGGTTATCAGTTTTCCATGACAGCTTTTGAATGGTGGGTTTCGGCATGGTCCCCATCAGGAACCCACTTCTAACTTTGCTCCCCCCTGGGACAGGACATCTCTCCCCCATACGGTGAGAGGGTTCTGCACAACGAAGGGACGTACTGTCGCTGGCTTCCCTTCAGGACCTGTAACAGAAATCATGGATTCACTTTGCAGGCACACAGCAGTGCCTCCAATCCCTGTGAGGGATCCAATCACTCAGCCAAATTCCAATCACTCGGCCAAAACCTGTGAGATATCACAGTGACATCTGTGCCAGTGCCCAGCATACCTGTGATATAAACTGTTCTACGAAGGTGAGTCAGGTTGCAAGTCAGTTCTGGTCAGTCAAGGCCCATATGCTCTACCCAAAAGACATCAAAACCTGACGTAGGATCCTCAAGCGGCACTTCTGGGCACACAACTTGATTTATTGGAAGTGGAGTTTTCTGATATATATTCAGTCTGTGTTCATCCATAGGTAAAACAATTGCAATAGCTAGAGGTGGTTTTGGTTGAATCACAAAAGGAACATTGAATGCAAGAGCTAGAAGCATTAGCTCTTCATTACAGTCTGCTGAAACAACAGCTGGAAGGACTGAAAGTTCAAAAATTCTGTTGCTGCTATGGCCTAGAACTAAAAAGTCTAAATGCCAGTTACAAAATGCCAGTAATTACTGTAGGGATACCTTTGTAACAGAAGTCTTTTAAAAGGAATATTAATTTTGAAGCTGCCAGCTCAAATTTGGCCCCTGGGGGTAATAAGGTGGGGCTGCTTGAGGGATGGGTGGCTGCGGCATAAATAACAACTGATTTGGGTTCCTTCAAGGCAAAGCCAAGGTAACTGAATTTTTTGGCAACTGGGGTGCCACTATTTGTTCCATCACACAGTGGTTTGTGCTCCCTTTTGAGTTTAACTGCAAGGGATTACCATCGATGTCAAAATGAGAATGACTATTCTTCATGTAATGTCTCCCTTTCCAACATAGAGGGCAAACAATAGATGGCTTAGGTTGTGTTGCCAGTACAGAACAATCCTTTTTCCTGTGACCAGGCTTTCCAGTGTCTCAGTTTTAGAAGACAGGTGTCTGCTAGGGAGGGCAGGAGCCCCCATTGGAATGAAAAATGTAGACCCCCTCCCTTTGAATTATTATAATTCTGAAATCAAGGGGCTTTCAGGCAGAGATCTGGGGATAGGAATAACAGTTCTTTACTAGTATTTATAACAAGGCAAACAAACAACAATAACGACAGAACCAGGAGCCCCGTGACAGCCTTCTCGGCTGAGACAGGAAGAGATGGAGGAAAGGCTTTGTTTCACAAACCCCCTCGGGCGGGCAGTCCCGGTGCTCCTGCAGGGCTCTGAGGAACAGTCGGCTGGAACAGCAGGGATGAGCTGAGATCCTGGGCCGGTGGCTGAGGTGTATCAGCAGCTCCGTGGCGGTGCCTGGCACTGCCACACGTCCTGGCAGGACAGGGGGAGCGAGGCCATCAACAAAGAGGGAAGAAGGAGAAGCAGCAGCAGCTCCGTCTGGGTGATGGCAAAATTCCCTTCTCCCCACCGCAACAGCTCTGTGCCTAAAGTGTTCTTCTCCAAAGCTGAAGAAGCCTGCCAAACTGTCCCCACCCTCCTTTTTTTCCTGCCCCCTTCCCCCCCTGGGCCTGGCTAAACTCTTTCTCTTTTCTCAAGCACCCACCTAGTACCACCCGCAGTTAGGTTTTCCCCGAAACTAATGAGTAAAAATTCCACAGGCAAGCCAGAACTCAAAAAAAAACACCTAACCCCCAACACACAGTTAGAACAAAGCTCCTTGACTTTTGTATCCATTTGCACAGTCACAAGAGCTTTCAAAACCTTCTCGAGTTTATCTCCTAGTTTTTCTCCCAATAAATCTTGTGATTTGAAAATCTGTTCCCCGAGAGCATTAGCTTGTACCTTAGCAAGGTGCTGTGGGGTGCTATGTTGACTGCAGTCTGAAAGCATTTGAGGAATAGTTGGGGGCTGGTCAGGTAAAGCTAAAATAACCTTCTTGCATTGCTCGTTTGCATTAGGAAAAGCAAGGTTTTTAAGAATATAAGGCTTAGTCTGATCATCAGGGCATTGCCTTTTGACAGCTTGTGTTAGTTGATCTAGAAAAGCACCGTAGGGCTCAGTTTTGCCTTGCATTATTGTAGAATAAACATTTGCATGACTACCTGCCCGTTCAACAGTGAGCAAAGCTTTTCTTGCAGCATTTTTTCATATCTCTAAGCCCAGGCCTAGGCAGTAAAACTGCCTGATCCTCTGGCCTGCCATGTGGTGCATCACCAGCTAATTGAGCAACAGTTAATTGAGCATAAGGACCACCCACATAATCTTCTATTATTCTATTGAGAAGTTTTCTCCACTCTAAGTCCCCTAAGATGTATTGTGAATTAGATAGAATCATAGAAGCCACGTTACAGCAATCTGCTGGAACCAGCTCATAAGAATTAAAAATACTTTTCACTACATTATTAAAATATGGAGAAGTCAGCCCACTATCTTTTATTGCTTGTCTGAGTTCTTTGAAATCATAGTGTGATAATGTTTCATATTGAGGATTTGAATTTTTTCTACCATACCTAGCATGGCTAGAAGCTGACCATTTAAAGAATCAAAATCATTAACCTGTCTGAACTTTCGTCAGATATCAAACCAGTCAGTTAAGCATACTGAATTCATTTTCAAATTTGTCCCTGAAGGGTCCCCAGTTTTTGCCAAAACTGAGGCAGTCTCCGGATTGGATGACAAAAATTCAGGGTTCAGTGTTAAATTTGTGGCACCAGAGTCAGGTAAACCAAAACCATCATCTGAGCTGTTTCCTGTGTCAGACAATTGTACAGCAATCGCAGACAGTCTCCTAGCTTCCTCTAAGCTGGAAACAGTGACCTGTCCTGTAAATGCAGCCTGAGGCATTT